CCCTGCCCTCCTCCCGCTCAGCCGGTCGGTCGGCATCTGTGCCCGCAGAGACATGAGGCTGAGCTGGGTCCTGACGGTGCTGACCGTCGGCCTGAGCGCCCTGGCCACGGTCACGGGGGCCGAGGGCAAGCGCAAGCTGCAGATCGGGGTCAAGAAGCGCGTGGACCACTGTCCCGTCAAGTCGCGCAAGGGAGACGTCCTGCACATGCACTACACGGTGAGCGGGGGGCGGGGCCTGGGGGCGGGGCTTCCGGAGACCCGTAGGCGACCGTGGACGAGTGGCTCCTCGCCTCCAAGCCAGTGTCCGCGGTTCTGCCTCGCCCTCGCTACCTGCTTCCCAGGTGGGCACCAGCAGGCCGTTACAGTGTACTGTGAGCTGCCAAGGCTCTGTCCCCTTGGAAGACTCTGACCGCCGGCGTTGTGTGGGCCAGTATGGTGGGGAGGGCCCCCGCCTCACCGGCTCCCCACGGTCCCGCAGGGGAAGCTGGAAGATGGCACGGAGTTTGACAGCAGCCTGCCCCAGAACCAGCCCTTCGTCTTCTCCCTCGGCACAGGCCAGGTCATCAAGGGCTGGGACCAGGGGCTGCTGGGGTGAGTCTGGCTGAGGGCGCCTGGGGCAGGGGGCGTGTGCACCGCCGTGGCCCAGGAGGTGAGCTGGGAGGCAAGCCCCAGGTGTGGGGCAGGGACCCTGGGTGCTGCTGTGTGCTGAGCACGTGTCAACCTGCAGGATGTGTGAGGGGGAGAAGCGGAAGCTGGTGATCCCCTCGGAGCTGGGTAAGAGGCCATGGCTCGGCGGGAGGCCATGGGTGTGTGATGGGAGGGCGTGCGCCCCATCAGCCAGTGAGGAGACCTGTCACCCCAGCCGGGCCTGTGGCTAGCAGTGAGGGCAGGGCAAGACCCTTGGCTGCAGTGCCTCCCTCCATCTGCCAGGCCTTTGGCTGTTCTGCCTCTGCTCCTGGCCATCTTGTGGGGAGGGGCAGAATGGGCCCTCCTCTCCGCCTGAGCTGCAGGGCACCTGGCCATCGTTCACTGTTCCTTTGTGCATCTTCAACAGGGTATGGAGAGCGGGGCGCTCCTCCAAAGATTCCAGGTAACACGCCTCCTTCCCCTGTGGCCAGCCCTCGTGTGCGCTCTGGGCCCTGGCCCCGTTCTGACCCCCGTCTCCCCACAGGCGGTGCGACCCTGGTGTTCGAAGTGGAGCTGCTGAAAATCGAGCGCCGTTCAGAACTGTAGCCAGGCTGGGGGGGGGCAGGGGCCCCTATCTGGGACCAGACTGTTCATAAAAAGAAACCTTAAAAGCCCAAGGACTGAGCCTGTGTTTGTTTGGGGCCTGGGGAGACTCCGGGCCCCCGTCTCCCTCGCCACCCCTTCTCCCTTCCTCCTTCCTGACTGCACAGCCTGGAGGGTCCAGGGTCATGGCTAGATGGCTGTGCCCAGGGAAAAAGGAGGTCTGGCCTGCCAGGAGCGGCTCTGCTCCCCTCCCCCACGCTCCCCAGCCACTTCCAGCTCCTGGTCTGGGAGCCAGCACTGGGCTATCGCCATGACTACGTGGCCCTCAGGAAGGCCTGCGGTCACCTGGGGAGAAGCTGAGCTGGCAGCAATTGCAGAGCTGTGCCCCCCTAAAAGAAACCAGCCGAGCCTGTGAGCTGTACCCAAGGCAGAGCCTAGCTTTAATTAATTAAAGGGCCCGCGCCGCAGAGTCAGTACAAAAACACAAAAAGTCCCGTCAGTTTAATAACAATAAAAAACCCCAAAAGTGAAAACTGAGGGGGCAGGGGAAGAGGCCCCTGGTCCAGGGGCACGAGGAACCCTGCTCATGGCACCAGGCCTGGCCGCAGGGTCCCGGTATTGCTGTTGCTACGAGGTCAGGGGGCAGCGATTGTCCTGTGGGTGCCAGCGTTCGCCTGGGCCCAGGACCCTTACTTCTTCTGGGGTGCGCTCAGCTTCTGCATGCCCCGGATCTTGTCCAGCAGGCCAGAGATGAAGGCCTGGATGGGAGGGGGCGCCCGTTAGGGAGACCCGGCCCTGAGATGGCCAGCGCCGGGGTCCCCCGGCCCACCCCGGGAAACCGCTTACCTCGGTGGGTTTGTAACAGTCAACCAGCAGTTCCTGGAGGGGGTGGGGGAGGGGAGGTAAGGACACCGTGAGTCCCCAGGGGTCCAGGCCTCGAGTTCGCCTCTGCCCACTTCCTAGGGCTGGGGCCCCATCACGGCCAGGCAAGTGCCGTTAGCCACGTTCTGCCCAGACAGGGCTGAGGTTCGGGGCCACAGCCGGCTGACTCAGACCCCGGAAGGCCTGGCTCCCAGCCTCACTCCCCCAGTGCCTCCGGGCAGCCCCCCTCACCTTGACCCTGGCAGCCCGGGTGTCGTCACTCTCCATGTCCAAGAGCTCATCCACGTCAATCTCCAGCTCTGGGATCTCCTCTTCCTGGGTGGGGAAGAGAAGGAGGGAGAAACAGGGCCTGAGTTGGGAGCGGGTGTGAGACGGGTCCTGCGTTGAGGTTCCTGCCTCTCTGGGGACGAACCCAGCCCTCTTTGCCCAGAAGGCGCCGGCAGCTGCTCTGAGGAGGAAAACAGATCAGGCCCGTGCCAAGGCAAATTGCCCAGTGGGGGGGGAGCTTCCTGTCCCTGCCAGTGGGCACCGGGGGGGCCAGACAAGGCCAGACAGCCACGGCTGGGGACCTTGGGCTGGAGAGCCAGCAGATGTGTCTCCCCAACATCCGGGCCCCCATCTCACCAGAGGGTCCAGCTGTCCCGGCTCGTCACAGTCCCTCCCCTCCCCTCCCCCAAACACCTGTCACAGCTTCCCGGGAGCGAGAAGGAAGTGAAGGGTGAGGGGTCAGCGGGAAGGACCCAAGCCTGGAAAAGGGGAAACAAAGAGCCCATGCTTGGGTGAGGGAGGGGTGCCCGCCACCCCACCTGCCCCCCCCAGGAAGTGGCTATCCCGTCTGAAGCCAGCTGCGCTCCAGGGCTGGGCCAGGGTAGGCGACGCGGGCGAGCCCACTCCTCCACCCTGCCCCCGGGGGCCTGAGTCACCGTCTGAGCAACCAGGGAGTCACGGGGTGGAGAGCCAGGGAGCAGGCTATCCCGCCCACGTGCCAAGAGGGAGCTCGGGCTAGCCCGTTGGAACAGCCCAGACCCTCCTCAGCCCCCAGCATTCAGGCGAGCGCCTTCTGAGCCCCGTCTAGGCGGCCGGCACCGGGCAGGTCGGACCTCCTCCCCTGCCAGTCCGGGCAGCCCCCCTGCCTCTCGCCC